ATTATTATTGTTATTATTGTTATTATTAAACCATGTAGTGATCCTCCCATTATTTCTCCTCCACTGCCTCCCTCCCTTTCTTCTTTCCTATCAAACATCTATTGTCCTCATCTCCCCTCCTTGTTTATATTTGTTACTCTCTTGGCCCAGGAAGTCGTCTCACTAACAAGGCAATCCCCAATGTCCGGATCGGATGCGGGAACAACTTTTTACTCTCGTGTGACACCTCTAATCTTCTGGCGCTTATAATAATGGCCTTATGCAGATGCAAGTTGTGGGTGGTTGGCGGGTGCTCTTGTGTGGCTTATTCCTTCTTTCCTATCAAACATCTGTCGTCCTTATCTCCCCTCCTTCTTTTTTGTGTATGCTACTCTCTTGTTACACATCTATTCTTCAGCACTTATATGACCTTATTGTGTTGCAAGTGCCGTAAATCTCTTACTAAAACTAAAAAACTACTTACGAAACAAGCGCCGTAAAACTCCTTAAAAAACTAAAACTCACCCTCCTGTCTTTTTGTCCCCGCCCCCTCCCCCCTCCAGGAGTCTATCTGGACAGACATTGACGTCCTCTTCAAGTCTTCCATGTTCACCTACGACCCGGAGAACTTTCCAGACCTGCCCAAGCTGGTCAACACCCTGAGGACACAGAACAGGCAGTTCTTCACTATACTGGTACATGCTTCTGTCTCAGTCTTCAAAATTTTAAACTTTTTCAGCAGTCGTACGTTAATTCTTCGACCTTTATGTAACACCCCAGTGGCGTCGGTAGCCTAGTGGTCAGGCTACCGGACTCGTAATCATGTAGTAATCTGTAGTAATCTGTAGAAATCTCCCACTCGGATTTTTAAATTAGTACTTACATGTATTAAGATTTTTTTTAGAATGCAGCTAACAGGTATTTACAAGAATATTGTTATGTTAACACAAATTGATACAAGTCATAGTCTATGTTCGGTAGTTTAGGAAGTATTTGACAGTAAGTTGCGCCACGAATTTTTGACGGCACTATAATAAAACACTCGGTCTTTTAACAGTCTGCCTTTATTGAAACGCTCTCTATTACCATTCTGCCTCCTTTAAAACGCTCTCTATTACCATTCTAACTCCTTTAAAACGCTCTCTATTACCATTCTGCCTCCTTTAAAACGCTCTCTATTACCATTCTAACTCCTTTAAAACGCTCTCTATTACCATTCTGCCTCCTTTAAAACGCTCTCTTTTACCGTTCTGCCTCCTTTAAAACGCCCTCTCTTACCGTTCTGCCTTCTTTAAAACGCTCTCTTTTACCATTCTGCCAGCCTGAGTTGTCTCTGTTTCAAGTCCTGTTCCCATCTTCTGTTTGCTCCCCCGCTTCCT